AAATCTGAAAAGCTTGGTTTTCAAAAATTAAAGATTTTAAAGATTTTAAAAGCCTTTAAAATCTTTAAAATCTTTAAAATCTTTAAAATCTGAAAAGCTTGGTTTTCAAAAATTAAAGATTTTAAAGATTTTAAAAGCCTTTAAAAATCTTTAAAATCTGAAAAGCTTGGTTTTCAAAAAAAAATTAAAGATTTTAAAGATTTTTAAAATTTTAAATCGTTAGGTCTGGGCTCCAGGCCACCGACACCTATTTAAAATTTTAAAAATCTTTAAAATCTTTAAAATCTTTAAAATCTGAAAAGCTTGGTTTTCAAAAATTAAAGATTTTAAAGATTTTAAAAGCCTTTAAAATCCTTAAAATCTTTAAAATCTGAAAAGCTTGGTTTTCAAAAATTAAAGATTTTAAAGATTTTTAAAATTCTAAATCGCTAGGTCTGGGCTCCAGGCCACCGACACCTATTTAAAATTTTAAAAATCTTTAAAATCTTTAAAATCTTTAAAATCTGAAAAGCTTGGTTTTCAAAAACTAAAGATTTTAAAGATTTTAAAAGCCTTTAAAATCTTTAAAATCTGAAAAGCTTGGTTTTCAAAAATAAAAGATTTTAAAAGCATCTGAAATCTTTAAAATCCTTAAAATCTGAAAAGCCTGAATTGATATAGTATTGATAAACAAAGCAAAGCCATACGTCAAATAGACCCTAAAGGTCCTACGTACTTAGGGCTTTAGGGGTTTAGGGTTTAGGGGTTTAGGGGTTAGGGGGAGTGGATTGAAAGCTCAAGGTCAGTTGAAGCCTTGCAACTGACATTGCATCATCCTGGCAATGACTGCTTATGGTGGCCGCGCGAGTATCACTGCTCTGCTTTCGAACAAGCCTGAAGCTCTGTGGTTGGGTGCAGGCTCCGTTGTGCAGATGCTACCCTCCGCTAAGAACCGGACAGCTTCCCATCAAGATCATCATCATCAGCAGCATCACCACCACCATGACAGTCATCATCCTCACCCTCACCCTCACCCTCACCCTCACCCTCACCCTCACCCTCACCCTCACCCTCACCCTCACCCTCACCCTCACCCTCAGCCTCAGCCTCAGCCTCAGCCTCATCCTCATCCTCATCCTCATCCTCATCCTCATCCTCATCCTCATCATCCAAATAGACATGGGACGAAGCCATCGATATGTCAATGCATGTCAATGCTTTGAGCCTTTATTCATCAATGCCCAATCTGCCTCGTGGCAGATGTGCGTTAGCGCCACGCCAAGAAATCCCAACGACGCGCCCCCGACCACCGCCATAGCGGCAACGAGAGCGGCGCGTCGCACGGCAAGGCTGGTGCCAGCCAGCAGAGGGGACCTTCATGCCAACATAGAGGTCTGAACAAAGTCTTCAGGCAGTTGGGTAGCACTAATTACTAAGTAACGTTATGCTAGCACGGATGACAACGAGAACAACAAGGACGACCGATGACCACTGTGACGACGATCAGGAGCAAACATTGGAACCGCATGTGAAAAGAGCAGCAGCAGCAGCAGCAACACCACCACCGCCACTACTAGCATCACCACGGCAACAGGAAAAACAAACGACTAACAACAAGATAACATTGGCAATCGCGACAAAAAATCAGCATTGCTCGTATCATCGTCATTATCGTCAACATCATCATCATCATGATCATCATGGTTACCATCGTCATCAGCACCATAATCATCATAATCTCCGTCGCCGTCGTCACCACCACCGCCAACAGCAGCAGCATCAGAATCAACTTCGAATCAGCATCGGTATCAGCATCAGCAGCAGCACCACCACAACCCCCCACAATCGCCACAACCACAAGCACCATCATCGTCACCATCACCATCACAGCTTCAGCTTACAAATGCAGAGTGAATGAAAGAAGTGACTTACTGACCTGACTTTCGATCTCTCTCCTCTTCATGTCCCTCCCTCCCTCCCTCCCTCCCTCCCTACCTCCCTATCTCTATACATAGAAATACCTTTATAATATATATATATATACACAGACACAAACTTTATATCTGTATGTGTGTATATATACACACCGACTAAGATCGATCTGACATATTAGGATTCAGAAGCACCCCCTAAACCATTATAAACCCATTACCGGGCGGGATACACGATGAGCGAAGCCGCGACCAGGCCCAAAGAGGCAGCCACGAAGGTGCAAAGAATGAGCCGATCCGGATTACGAGGCTCCCGAACAGAGAAGAGCATCCTTGAAAATATTTTGAAATTATGAGTGGTTTCGGGTTTAGGGGTTTATAAGCTCTAGGATGAGGGTTTATTAGAATATATTAGGGTTTAGGGCCTAAGGGTTCAGGGTTTAGGGTTTGTGTGAAATTATCTTAGCTTGACAAGGCTTACATCTATACACTCTATACATAAAGAAACCTGAGTTTGTAGGTTTGTTTTTGTCCCGGTTTGGGGTTGAGAGCCTGTTGGGCTCGAAGGCTTTAGGCTGAAGGTCGGGTGTCCCCAAGGGCCAGACGGCCCGACATCATGTCTATAGGGGTTATGCGCGAGACTTCAGAAGCTCCCATGAGGTTCAGCATGTAGGGGGCAGGAAACTAGAATCCAAGTGGCCCAGCGACGACGCCGATAGCGATGAAGGCCGCGTCTGTCCACTTGGTGAACGCAGGGGTGGCATCCAGCGTTTCCGAAATCAAGACATCCTGGACTGCGGGTATTGTGTAGCTTACGGCACCGAGGGTTGCGTAGCAAGCCATCTTCATGAAGAATTTGGGATGCTTGGAGAGGCTCCGGAGGTTCCTCCTGACAGACGGTATCTCTTCCGGCAGCGCTTTACCCGCACTCTCATCGTGTAGAAGCAGGAAAAGCAGTATGGCGACAGTCACTGCGACAGCCTGACAGAGCAGGAATTGCTCCAGATCCTGCCGTGTTTGCACAACGGTCGGGATCAGAAATGCGCTCAAACACCAACCTGCATAGTTAGACTGGACACCGATACTCGTGGCCAACATTTGCAGCTCAGGTGGAAACCAGCGCTCACCCATGACCGCATAAGACATGCAACACACGGCGAAGGCCACTCCAATGAAAACGGTTGAGGCCAAGCACATCGCCCAACTACCCTGTACGGCACTAAGCCAACGTAGCCATGCGCCGATTGTGTTGAAAAGTGCACCTGCGCCACACACATAATAGCTTTGGCGAGGCAAGAAGTACGCCACTAAGAATGCAGTCGGCAGGGTTGTGAAGAGAGCCAGACTGTATGTCATGGCGATGTCACCCACATCGACAGCAAATGTTCGGGAGCTGAGATCACTCAGCACCACGAAATCCATAAACATGACCGCATTTGCCGCAGCACTGTAGCCGAACGCAGCTAAGGTGAGCCAGCTGCGCCACATCGCCATGGCGAACACAGCAACGATCCTGGTGCTCTGTAGAAGCTACAGTACAGTGGTTGCAGCATAGATGGCTGGGCTGTCATCGTCGGCGCAGTAAGGAAAGCTAGGGAGCTCCGAGGAAGCCTGACCTTTGAATGACTGAAGACGTCGGCAATTCACGGATGGTGTGTGAGTGTGGAGTGTGTGTGTGTGTGTGCGCGTGTGAAGGTGTATTCGAGATGTCCTTGTTAGACCCCTATCCCTATCCCTATGTAAGACAAACAATCGTAGCTCAACTCGTTCTGCCAGTACGTATTGTACATTGTAAAGGCACTTGCAAGAGCCGCCTCAAACCTGACTTTCTGCGACATGCGCAGTGGCTGCAATGTAGTGATCGAATGGAGGACGAATGCTTACCGTTTTAGGTGTTGAGCAATGTTTATATAAGCTCACGTTATCCGAACAGGCACCCTGATTCATGGAGGACTAGCTGCAGCGAGATCTACCTTCCTTCGTGAAAGCGCTGTCTCCAAGAAGTTGGAACAGAAATGCTGCAGGAGCTCAGGGACACAGAAACCCTTCCTGCAGAGCAAGATGTGCTATAGAGGCCTTAATCCTTAGAATAGGGGTTTGGGGCCAACTAGGGTACAACTTGAATAAGGAACACTAGACTAAGGAAGAAAGTAGCTGTTCGTGGTGTAGATTCAAGTTCTGCCGGGCTTTCCGCGCTCGCGGTCGGAAGTCATGCAAAGTGTCCTAAGTACCTAGATGATGCTTCGGGAAAATAGCCCCTGTCAAGATACCTAGGACCTTTTGCGTCATGCATGGAAGTGAAGGGCATTGCGCGTTGAATTCGGGCCTTCAGGTAGCCGAAGCCATGTTCTCGTGAAAAGAGATGTAGTAAACAACTCCCCAGGAAATCTCAGACGCGGGTCGCTAGGTTCAAGGCTTCATGTGTGAGTTTAGGGCTTGACTTCGGGGCAGGTTTTGGCTTAGGTTTAGTGCCGCCCCCCCCAAAACCTTGCATTCTACGTATGCAACTTGCTTCATACGCTGTGAACCCGAAACCCTTCACCTTGCAGGTGGTAGTGTGATGGGGTAACAGAGGGTTGATACACGTGTACTGCACAAACCATGATGGAGGCATACCGTAGCTGTATACATATACATAAACTTATACATACATGCATGCATGCCGACGTATGCATGCATGGGTACATATACCATATATACATATATATATATATATATATATATATATACATGTAGGATTAAAGTGTGTGTGATATGTCTATTTGCTCACCTGTTTATATACCTATACGTGTATGCATACACACACATCCACACATGCATGCCCACATACATGCATGCATGGCTACATACGTACATACATACATGCATACATACATGCATACACGCCAACATGCATACGTACATAGTTACACACATTTATACAATACGATAAGTGTGTCAGCACGCACACACACATATGTATATATATATATATATATGTGTGTGTATATGTACTTACATACACACAGATCCCTTCTGAAACATGTATGCAACAACCAGTTGCTTGCTGTTATTCTCTCGGTTCACGTGTAAGTCGTGCAGAAGAGAGGCCAAAGCGGCCGAAGACGTAGTTTGCTGCAGAGTCCTCCCAGGACTGCGAACCAGGGAGTGAATGCTTTCGCGCCCATGCGAGCTTCTGTCGACAACTTTCCAATATAGGGACATGGCTCCTGAAGCATCAAGGACACATCTGGAGGCCTTAACACGACACCGGCGAATCCCTGTGTAGAGTAGTACCTATAGTCTCCATGCTGGTTCCTTTTTTGGTTCAACCAAATATAGAATTAGGATCCAAAAAGGAACTACAATTGACACTATAGGTAAGAAAAAGTCGCTGGGCAAAACAAGACGCCTTCAGGGGTCAGTTCGCAAGAGATTCAAACCCAAACCATCCCACAAGCCAACACATCATACACTTTACCCGATAGGATTCCATATATGAACCCCCAAAACGAACTACTTTGGGGCCTGTGGGTATGCACCATGTGAATCCTTAAAACCTCCAAACCCTGAAACCCCGAGCTGAAGCCTGTAGCCTGTAAATACTTTAAGATCGCGGCTGCATGGGCTCCGATTACGGACATGGGGTGGGCTTTAGGGTTTAGGGTTATTTTGATGTGCGCTTCGATGCGAGGTCGCGAGATAAGGGCTTAGGGTTAGGCCGGTCGTTGCGGGCAATGTAGGGGCATTTTAGTTAGAATGGGGTTTTGGGCTCGTTTGGAGATTGCTTCTGATAAGGAACCCGAAGGAATAATACTGGAACCTGTTTAGCCTTCTATATTATCCAGCAGGTTAAGAAGGGTTGTACTGGCATGAAGATGCTCCGATACATCCGTAGACAAGACAACCCTGCCAGCCAAGCAAAAGCAAGCATCTCACTTTTACAATGCTAGGAGCCTTTTTACTGAATAGGGTGTCGGACCATACCATGCCAAAACTACCGAGAAACTGTGAGCCATTGTTCCAATCCGTATGCTGCCCTTCTTGCTCAGTTCCTATCTGTAGATCTCTAGGAGGGGGATAACCGTGCGGCTCCAACATGCAATTTAGGTGGTTTCTAAGTTTGGGGTTTTAGGGTCAGGGTTTAGGATTCAAGGTTAAGGGTTTTTGGAGCTTGGTGTTTGTTCGTCTTCGAGTTCGATGAAACTGCACCGAGCAAGAAAACGACTTAGTCCTCGAACCCTATAACCCGAACCCTACGCCACAAACCGCAAAACCCTGAACCCTAAACCCCAAACCTCAAACCCAACACCCCCATAGACCCCTACAGCTCTGGAATAGAGTACAACTGGAAGCTTCGGTTACAAGTTTAGTGCTCCACCATAAGGTTACTCAGCACGACAACACTAGGCTCGCAACTTTCTGGGGCGAAAGAGCACTATAGCGGCCTTAATAACTATAGCAGGGTTTTGGGGGGAATATTGTACTGTAACTATAGTAAGGGACCCCCCAAAAAATAGAATCGGTAAGTATTCACGCCCCTCTATTTTAATGAGGCCGAACCCAGCCAGAAGGGTCGTTTTACTGGCCGAGGGATGATGTGAAAAACACGTTGACTGAACCCTGGACCCTATCTAGTCTCTGTTGGGGTCTTCAGGCCATATATATATATATATACATATATATATATATATGTACATTAACCCGTATAGGATCTTAAGGAAAGAGCAACCTAAACTCCCAAACCTGGCTGGACATTAATTATACCCCAAAGCCTAAAGCCTAAACCTAAACCCTGCACGAGATCCCGGCCCGCCTGCACCCAGCCGGTATGCTTGGAGGCACTACGGAACTTCTCCGCTGCAGCCGCGCGGATGCTTTCGGGCCGCTGACTTGCGAGGCTCATGAGGGCAATCCCGTAAGTTTTTGCATGGTCCTCAAAGAAGAGAACCGAGATCCCTAACTTGGGTTTCCCCAAGGGTCCAAGTATCATTATGGTATATACTTAGACCCCCAAAATACCCTATAAGTATATACCACAATGATACTTGGACCATTTGGGTTTAGGGTTGCCTAAGCCCTACATCCTCCATCCCCAAGTTCGGGGAGTGACAACTCACGATGCTGAAGGGCTTGGGCTTTTGGTGTGACTGAGGGCTCAAGGTTGGGTATCAGGTTTTTCTGAGCGGTCCCGATCCGGTGTGACGGTGTAGGGGTCTAGGTGTTTAGGATTTAGGGGCGATTATAGGGGTTACCGTAAGTTTCCATGCTTAGGCTATAGAGCTCTCTACAGGGTAGAAGGTCTGAACCTGTGATCGTTGTGGGTGTGTCGGGAGTGAACGTTTCAATCAGAGTTTCTGCGTGTTGGCGAACATATAGCCAAGAAGGCTGCGGCATTCTCGAACTGTGTTCTAGATCCATGTTCCCTTGCACTTCCCACCTGAGGCAACGACTGGGTTTGGCAATTGTCCGTTTCTTGGGAATCGAGTTTCGGGTTCAGGCATTAATTATGCTGGAATCCGGATGTCAGTCTGGAGAGTCCTGGCAGACCACGCCATCATCGGTGTACCCGGTTCCCTGACGGTGTGAGCAAAGAGGACTGCTTCAGTCAAACAACTTTCGTTGAGGGCCGTACGTGATTTGAACATACTTGTGTTACCAGTGTGGAAAACCACCACACAGGAACACCAGTGCCAATGATTGAGAGTCTTGCACCTAAGAGGACCCTGTTGGATGCACTTGGCTGTGGTCTGGAAGACGAAACGGTAGGTTCTGTGGTTTGCATATGTGGTGTACTAGGGTGTGGCAGACAGAACAGAACCCCTATTCGCACTTTAGAGTTTGTTTCTGCTGCCTCCTCTCAGCAAATCAAGGACCGAAAGCCTCACCCCAAGGTAGCACACGGGTCGTGATTTGAAAGTCCAACGGGGCTCGGTGGTACGTTATACTGTAAATCTGACAAGCAACGCTAAGGAACACTAATGGTCCTTACTCAGGCTTCGACATTACACAATCTACGTTGCCAACTGGTGCCACCGAGGTCACGATATCTCCCGCCTAGTCCGAAAGCCTTCCGAAGAGGGAGGTGAGTCTGCGCACAACTACCTTCATCAGTCAAACACTACCCAGAACACTAAACCCTAAACCCTGAACCGTCAACCCGAAACCCTAAACCCTAAGCTGCAAAAGGAGTGACCGAAGACAGCTTCGGACAGGGAGTGCACTGCACGAGCCTTACGGGTCCATGCACCTACATAGTATCTGCTCGGACCCATGCACCTACATAGTATCTGCTCGGACCCTGAAGTACTACTACGCCCCCGTAAAAATGTAACACAGCATAAAACCGTTAAAGGAAGAAACTGAACGGAACGCCTAACATCTTAGGCGGAGCGGTTTTTTTTTTTCCTAGGTCTGGCCCTCCCCGGCTTGCTTTCCTAAGTCTGGCCCACTGGTTGTGGTTGCCAACAGCGGCAACTGCGGTCTTTGCTGCATCAAGCTATTGGGGAACTAGAATTCCACGGGTCTGGTTTTGCTTCTGTTTTGCATGAAGCTATTGGGGAACTACAACTTGCGGAGTCTGATTTTGCTTGTGTTTAGCATGAAGCTGTTGGGGAACCACAAGTTGCAGGGTTCGGTTTTCGTGTTTTGCATGAAGCTATTGGGGGGTTCGCATTTGCAGGGATCGGTGTTGCTTGTGTTTTGCATCAAGCTATTGGGGAACTACAATTCGCAGGGTCTGCTTCTGCTTGTGTTCTGCTTGAAGCTATTAGGGAACTAGAATTTGCGGTGTGTTCATCTGCTTGTCTTTTGCATGAAGCCACTAGGGAACTACAATTTGCGGTGTGTTCTTGTGCTTGTTTTTTGCATCAAGCTAATGGGGGAACTACAATTTGTGGGGTCGGCCTTGTTTCTGTTTTGCATCAAGCTATTGGGGAACTACAATTTGCAGAGTCTTTTATTGTTTGTGTTTTT